TCCATGTGATTTATGCAGGTCAACAAGACCACCTTAGACATCAGTGCATGCATAGCCAGCATGGACCTTGGTGCCCAAGGTAAGGCCCTTTGTGACATGCTTGAAAGCAGGCATGCTGCTGTGTCCTACACTAGGGTCCTGAGCCAACTTGTCAAAGTCAATGGAAAGACACTTGTTGACCAGAGTGGGTCCAGCTGCAGAGCACAAAGGAATGCACTGCTTTTAGGAGCCAGGCTGGGGATGCTGGAGTCAGGAGCCTTTAAAGAAAAATGGAAAGTTTCCAGCGAAATAACAAGAAGGCTCCCCACACCCGCCACCACATTGCATGCAACCCCTTTGTACCTTGCTGGCTGCAGGCTTCCTTGGTTCCCCCCCTCCGGCATGGGGGAGCGGGAGGGCCCCTGAAGACTCCACTGCTAGTAGCAGCAGCAGCTGGGGCAGTGAGGGGAGCAGCACTCAGACCAGGAGCTTGGGGGCTGCAGGTTAACCTCTTGGGGACTGGATATGGCTCACAGATTGGTGGTTGAACAGTTCTGGATTAGATGAAGCATACAAGGGGTAGGAGGGAAGAAAAAGACACAAAGACATTAAATGACTTGTTCTGGGTCAGCAGCAGAGCTGGGAATGGAACCCAGCAGGGAGACGCTCAGACAATCGTGCATACAGGATTTCCAGGCAAAAAACCTTGCATAAGTATGGAAGCAAGAACTGAATCTCTGTGCAGAGCTGACCGTGGTGGACAGCTCTGTGGGAGCAAAGGGGAAACTTTTTTACTGTCTGTTGAGGGGAAAGGACCAGAGTCAGTGAGACACTGCTGCTAGGATTAATGCCTAAAACACTGGAACAGCTGATAAGGATGTGAGGAGTACTGTAACTCCAGATGCAGTGAGACGTTCAGAGACTGAAATCGTGCAGCAGAAGAAGCAAAAGATGCTTGTGGTCTGAGGATTCTGGTATCGCTGTGCAATTTGGGAGCCATTTAAGATTCCTTAGTTAGAGACAGCTTCATCTGTGGGATGTGTAATTACAGTTTTCTGGAGGGATTGTTGGGAGAAGTGGATCTAACTCTGGAGAAACACCTCCAAACAGCAAGGATATCTTAACTATCTAGGGAAAAGATCAAAAGAATGACAGCCACAGATGCAAAACAACTTCACAGGCTCTAGGCAAAAGAACCCAGGAAGCAGGACAGAGTAAGTGTGAGTTCAGGCATCACAGTTCAGTGTATATATGTAAGGTGGAAGAAGAGTGCCAAGGCAATATGCCATGGTACAAGTGTGGGAAGCAAAATCATATTGACCTGCATGCCACCCCCACTCCAAATAAGACATGCACTTTGTTTTGGGAAGACCGAATTAAAAAAAAAAAAAAAAAAAAAAAAATTCCCAGGCTTTCCTGCCATAGCACAGACTCACCATAGCTGAATGCTAGCTGCATGGAGCAGGGGCAGAGCCAGCACAATTGATCCCCTTGCTGTTCCAAAAAAGCTAAATGTTTAACCCTGCCACAGATTCTGCCAAATTGCTGGTAGCTTTTGGCTGGAACTCAGTTCACTTCTATGGGACTCTGAGAGACTGAGAGCCAGTGAGGAGATGTCTGGACTGCCGGATGTGAGGAAAATACAGCAAGTTAAAAGGCGGGCCAGTGATCTTTCTCAGTTCTGTGACACCTGTCAGAAGCCTGTAAGCCCTTGAGTCAGTTGTCACACAATGCTGCATCCTGGGAATGATCAGGGCTCAAGAACTGGCATTCAAAGAGTCAAGCAAATCATAAAGCATGCACCAATCCTGACATCCTGCAGCCTAGTGGAGCAGCTGGGACAACCGTAGACTCCTTCCTCTATAGACTAAGGGGCAGCTTGGATGCAAACCAGCAGCCCCCTGAATTTGCTAGTAGAGTCCTGACAACCACAGACAGGATGTGCTCAGATAGGCATGAAGATCAGGGCTGTACTCTTTGGCATGGAACCGTTCCATCCGTTCACCTTTGGCACAAGGTGGCTGTGACGTGCTCATGAGCAGGGATCCTGGTTTTCTCTGATTTAAAAAAAAATCCCAATTTTTTGGTTAAAAGAAATTAACCCCAAGTCCACATTTTTCCATGATTTAAATGAAACACTACCAATATAGAGAGATATAGATAGTGGTATTTTATTTTAATCATGGGAAAATGCAGATTTGGGGTTACTATTTTTTCTGAAAATTGGGGTTTTTTTACATCAGAGAAAACCAATATCCCTGCTCATGAACCATTAGAATGCATTGTGAAAAAGTCAGTGCACTCAGGTGATGACATGAAATCCCAGTATGATCCTGGGAAAAGGTCAGACCAGGCCAGCTCTAGACTTATTATGACAGGTGCTTTTTGGCCCTAGCAGGTCCTACTGCAATTTCTTCGAGGTGGATTGTGTTCAGGACACCAAAGTAGGAAGTCTGATCAGGAATCCAAAAAGGTGTTTTGCTAGATCATGTATGCCTGACGCAGTGTGCCTAGACAATGGACCATGGTGCAGAGTAGCAGAAACCAAATGGTTCAGTGCTGAATGTGAACTTGTGATGAGTTGTTGTCCCCTGGAGACTCAAAATTTTTTACCCTCTTGCTGCTATATATGCAAGATTTTTGTTTTGAGGCTTCCTCAGAACCATTCAATATTGGCTGCAGCCCAGGCTGAGGATTATGACTGGGATATGCCAATGTCTGCTGGGACTTAAACCCAGAGGTTCACCCATGGATGGCACTCTCTGGCATGTCCTTGAGTATAGATAGAAAACAACTATATTGCCTCCTTTCAAGGATCTTGCAACCTAGAACAAGGACAGATTAATTAAGCCTCTACTCTTTAATTAGGTAGAAGAGAGAAGTAGTTCATCTTGTTAATCTGAAGTCAAGCAGAAAGCGGGGCAGGGTGGTACCTCAGAGACTAACTGGTTCGGAGAGGAATAAGCTTTTATAGGTGACAGCCTACTTCATCAGAAACATCTGATAGGTTCTTCATCAGAAGCATCTGATAGGGACTTTGTCAGAAAGCTCACATGTTTCTGATTCAGTTAGTCTCTAAGATACCACCATGCCCTGCCTTCTGCCAAGGAGGGAGTATACAGTGGTTAGGGATTGGGCTGGGACTTCAGGTGACCTGAGTTCAGTTCCCTGCTCTTCCACAGACTCCCTGTGTGACCTGAAGAAGTCATATAGTGTCTTGGAGCTCACCTATGCTGCCAGGGTGGCAAGGCCCAGCGCTGCGGGCTTGAGTATGTCCTGTATGCTTGCTGCAAACCTGGAAGTTCAACAGTGAAGCTGTTCCAGGCTCGCCTGTCACAGCTCTCAGGCCCTCTACAAATCAAGGGCTTGAGTCTGCAGAGGGACAAGTCTACAGTGGCCTCACTGATTTATATCTAGGTTTGGAGTGTACCTGCAGACATGGGTAACTGGGACATGCTTGAGCTCCTCAGTGCCAGGGCACATCACCCTGATGATATGCCTCAGTTCCCATCTGTATACTGGAGATATGGGCACAGCCCTGCCTCAAGAGAGGGGGTGTTATGAAACAGATGCTCAGAAATGATGCTGATGGGACCAGACTGACAAGAGGCTTCTCTTTGGTGGGGATCAATCCTGTTTCTCTTCCCCGACCCTTACAGATGGAGCCCTGGGAGTGTGCCAGGTACTGGGCAGGGCAGGTAGAAGGCTTTGCTGTTGAGCTCACGCTGACACGATGCAGCTCAGCCACCCAGGGAGGCACCAGCTGAGAGCCAAGGAAAAACAGGCAGGAAGCTGTTTAATTTGCTGAAATTCTGCAGATGAGGGATGTCTGCGTCGGCTCCTCTCTTTGATGAACCCAGCCTGTGGTTCTTGCTGTGCTGGAGATCAGAACTGGCAGGCTGTGGAGGAAGGGTCAAGAGCACAGGCTGAGTGAGGGTGAGGAATGTGCTGGGAAGGGGCATGGCTCCGCTCTTTGCTGGGTGGACTCCTGGCTGCAGTTGTATCTCATGTGCCTCTTTGCCAGACAGCAAAGCAATGTGAGCAGCTCTGAGGAAGATGCTGTATGCAATGGCTGCCCCATCGACCCATCCCTCATCTTCCTTAATGGAGAATACTGTCCAGAGCTTGAGGGGGAAGGCCGGGATGAGGAAGCCCCTCAGGTCACATCTGCATGGGGTGGGGTGAGCAGCTCAGGTGCGTAGACCAGGAAACAAAAACCTGGGCTATATAATGGGGTGCTCAGGGAGTGTATGGGGAGGGGGAATTTGGGCTGGCAGCCGTGGCGTACTGGGCCAGGGGAGGGTTGCAATGCAGGAGACGCTTAATGTTACTGTACTGGTTTCCTGTGCATATCCCCTTGAAGGCCTGGGTTCAAAGCCAATCCACCATTTGTTTGCTCTTCCTGGGCTTTCAGCACCCCTCCTCTGGCAGGTCTTCATCACGTGCTGGTGTAGACCTGCACACTGACTATGTGGGCAAATGAAGTCTGGTTTGTCAGCACAAGGCCTGGGCTAAGGGGGCAACAGGAGATTTGTGAGAAATCCAAGACTGAACAACCTTACATACCAGGGCTGTACACTCTGCCCTGAGGTGGCCAGCATTTGTAGCCCAGGGCTTCCCTGGGACCCAGCTGATGCCGCCCCAGGTACCAACATGACCCAGAAAAACTAGATGCTGGTACGCATCCTTCGGCTAGCCTGCCTCAGTTTATTCTCACAGTTCCCAGATGCTCTAGCAGCAGGTGCCGGTGATTGTCAATAGCGCAGTCTTGCCCGACATGTTGATGGCTGTTATTGTGGCACTTGGAGGTTGAACATAATCCTGTTCAAGTGCCTGGCACTCCATGGGTCTGACTTCTTGCAGAGTGAGTGGGAACATACTGAATGTCATAATGCTTGGCACAAACAAGATTTGGAGTGCCCAAGGGGATAGCAGCTGTCCAGACACCGGGAGCTGCCTTTAAGACTGGCCTGTTAACTAGTTGCTGCCCTTTCTGTAACTTCTCTGCTCTTGTTTTTCAGGCCCTTGAATGTCACCTTAGTCTTCCAGTCCAAGAGCCAGAGGTTTCTGCGGGTAGGCCTTGCCGTTCCCCTTTTTAGCACAGTGGCAAAACTGAAGGAAATGGTGGCAGAAGAAGGCAAGATCACACCTGACCAGGTAAGTCAGAGGCAGATTTCCTAAACTCAAGTCAGGGAGCTGGCAGGGGTCTACCAGGCGGTCACTTGATTCAGAGCATCCCTAAGTATGGCAGCAGCCATGGAGGCATGGGGGAAACCTACTCCACCCACCTAGGGCTAACAATGCAAGCAGGGACCTGACCTTTATTTCAGTGACACACTTATATCAGGCCATAAGTTTAAGGTACTATCATCTCATCACATTGTAGGGCAGCATTACAGTATGAAGGTGAGTATATTAACTAGTCCCCATTTTGTGTCTGATCGCTGGAGACTCAGCCCATGAGCTAGGGTAGTTTTGCATTGGGAGTTTATCTGTAGAGGTCAGTGGTTTAATACCAGGGGGCCACATCCACCCTGTTTCATTACATTGTGGTGCTGTAGTGTGGCCATTAATTGAAGCTCACTGGGTATGGGATAGATCCTGACCTCAGTATAACCTTCACAAACCTTTCTTGTCCACCAAAGGTGATCCTGGCAGAGGTGTATCCCGGCGGGTTCCAGCGCTCCTTCCACGATGAGGAGGACCTGAACACCATCATGGAGGGGGACAGCGTGTATGCTTTCCAGGCTCCACTGCCATTCAGCAGGGCCAGCTCGTCTCGGCTTTCAGGTACCAGACTCTCTGTTCACAAGCACAGGGAGGTGGGGACATGTGCATCCCAGAAAGCTAAATTTTTCAGTTGTATTTGCAAGTGCTTTTTCTGATCCTTGGCTGCCAGGGACTCTGACAGCCAGAGTTACCCTTGAAACATCAAAGTCTTTCCCCGGCATGCTTGGAACAGCTGTCGCCCTGCAGTTTTAATGAACAGAAATTGAAGTGGGATTTGCTTTGCTCTCACTGGGACAGGGTCCCCAGAGACACTTCACCCCCTCTCTGATGTGCAGTCTTCACAGCTGCTAGGCATACATGAGAAACAATTAGGCAGGCTAAGTCCAAATCGCTTAGATGAAGGAATGTCATGATACCTAGTTTGATGTCCTATTAGCAACAGATGAGCCATACTAAGAGGCAAACAGCCATTTTAGACTGAAAGGGTATGGAGCAGAATTGTTCTTCCTGCATTGATAAAACTCTAGTAGTCTGCTCCCTGGAGATTTTCCAGTGCATGGTATACAGAAAGGACAATGTGGTTAAGGCACTGGGTTTGGTTCTCTGCTCTGCACCAGACATCCTCTGTAGCCTTAGGCAAATCACTTAATCTCTTTGTGTCTCAGTTCCCTGCCTGGAGAAAAGGTAACCTTTTACCTTAAATAGCTTCTTCCTCCTGGGTGCTCATCCCCTGCTGTATTTACAGACAGTCAGATCCCCTATGGGACTGGGCCTGTGGTTTCCTGTCTCTATTTTCTACCGTGGCTTTGGAGAATCAGAGGAGAAGACCTGCTCCAAGGCTTCACATGGAGCCCAGCTGATGCAGTGGCCAGTCCTGGGGATTTCTATCAGTGTTGCATGGTTACTCCTAGACATGAAGATCACTGGCCCCAGCCACTTCAAACCCACATAGTAGTTTAAGTGAGACATAAAGTGGTGCCCAGGGCTTGTGTGGATCCTGAGCACAGGAGTAAATCTCAGAGGCCATGAAGGTCCAGAATGAACGCCTGACTCCGTCAGCACTGATAAAGGTTTTGCAGTTGACTTCAGGAGCTCTAGGTTTTACCACTGAAGTGCCGTAGAGACTTGGACTTCTTGTCCTGTACAGGACCAGGCTAAGGAGCAGTGGTGAGTAAATATCCCCTCTCAGGGGTAGGCAGGGAGCATGTCAGCCTCTAGGGCTGGCACAGATGGAGAAGCAGAAACCTCTTAGAGCATACAGTCCTAAGACCAAAGCAGGGTTTTGAGTCTGCACAGCATGTACTTCATTAGCAAGAAGGCTGTGCAAAGGAGCGCCCCCAGAACATCCCTCTTGAGCGCAGCCCTGCTAGGAGTGTGTGCTGGCAGGCAGAACTGCATTCCACCCTGCAGGGAGGAAAACAGACCCATGCTCATCAGCAGCTCCAGGCATGCCGGCCTTCTGGTTCCACTGGTTTGATGGTTTATTTGTTCATTAGGAGGATGCTCACTGAGCACCATGAACCCAGCCCTCTTTGTCTGAGAGCCTTCCAGCGCCCATCTCTCTCTGCTGCCTGCCAGCGAGGCAGGGAATCAGCTTGTGCCAACTGGTAGAAACAAACAAAAATGTATGGCCCTTTCTTAGCCAAGCAAGGATCTCACAGCATGTCTTGAACAACCAGGGCCTGATTCTGCTGTTCCTTTTCCTGCTGTTTAGGGGCCTGCTCATGCAGTGCGACCCACTGAAACCAGTCGGTTATCTGGGGAGCAAGGAACTGGGCAGTGGGGGTAAGTGTAGCAAAATCTGGTTAAGAGGTGGGCTAGAATCATTGTCCTTTTACCTCCCGGCCAAATGGGGAAACTGAGACAGGAGTTCCCAGAGTGCTGAGCATGGCCACTTTTGGTTGAAGTAAAAGTGCTCAACAGTTCTGAAAATCAAACTGCCAGGTGTCCCCAAAACTGTTAACAGGGCTTATTTTTTGCAGATGGTAAGACTGTGGAACCCACTGCCACAGGCTGTTGTTGAGGCCAAGACCATAACGGACTCTGAAAAGGGCTTGACATTGTTGGGCAGGGACTGTCTTTTTGTTCTGCATTTCAGCCCCTTACGGGGAATCCCAAATGTTCTGAACAGGTGCTTGTCAAAAAGTCAGGCTTCCTGGGCAGGGCTCAAAAGGCTTCATGATCAGCTGCAGGAAAGCTCAGTAATGTCTGGGATTTGCAGGTTGACCCATATGAGAACTCCCCAGCCAGCGCAGATCTGCAGACTCAGTCTAGAAATATCACTGCAGCTGACTTCCTTGTCCAATTTCTAGTCGACATCCTGCTTCTGGTTAGGCTGCTGTTCAGGTCCCTGGCTCCAAAAAAGCAGAGACAGCTGGGAAAAAAGAACAACCCAGGAAGATTAGTGACCTTTTCCAAGCCTAGTGAAAGCCTGAGTTTGGGCACTGGGGAATGGTTGGGTTGATTCAGACATTTTCCCTGTCCTTGTTTATAATAGTTAGGGGTGCAGCCTGGAAACCTCCATGGGAGCTCTTCACTGCCAGATGCACTGAGACAGCTCAGGGAAGGCAGGGGGAGGATTGAGCCCTCAGACAGAGGCTTCCTTGTCTGTTTATGTGGAGGAACGATTGCGATGCAGAACAGTGTTTAAAATCTTAGCAGAAAATCCCTTTATTACAGCCCTTCACCTCAGGGCTGCAGATAAAACTCAGCACTGCCTACCGCAGTGCTGACTTCATGATGCACAGAGATAAAGGTAAAACCCTTCATCGATTGATTAACATAGGAACAGCGCCAATGTCAAGAGATCCCATGGAGCAAAGGCAGTGGCCCATCCTAATGTACCCAGCTCATCTTCAGACCCTGCAGGAGGACCCCTCCTGCCTGCACTTGCAAAGGACGGGGCAACTCAAAGACTCGCTGGAATGTCATGCTAATTGGCAGGGTTTGTGCTGACAGTATGAGCCCATGATTCCTGCTAACGGTGACTTAATTAGACACCAGATGGTGTTTAGTAAATGTTTGCGTAAGTAAACATTACATCAGGGTTTGTCATGCAGAACCTCTCCTTGTGCCAGTGCCACCCAGGTTCTTATTAGCTATTGACTGCAGCAGGTAGCTCATCTAGGAAGTGCTTCTTGCACTAGCTTGTCTGTTTGACCCCAGAACAGCCCGTATGTTGCATCTGACTGCTAGAAGTGGTTCAGATGAAATGTGACCGAACCCCACCCCAGAACTGCATTGCACTTGCTTGAGATTCAAAAAAACATTTGTTCTCTTTTTTCTTCCTATGAAGCTAGTTCACTTCCAGTTACCTCACTGCAGTTCTTGGTTCCAGCTACCAGTGGAAACACAGGATCCAACGTCCCCAAGGGAGGAGGTGTTCAAGGTGCTGTCATCTTGAATGGAAGCAGGAAGCCTTAGAAATGTCCTTAGCAAGCACACTCTTGTGACACTCCTAGCCCAATTTTTTATACTTAAGAGGTAGAGGTTGGTGCCCACACTCCTTTCCTGATAGTTTCTCCAAGCTCACCCATCCAGTTGAACCTTTGGGTGTCCTCCCATTATTAGGTGTTAGACCAAAAAAGTGACATATAAAACCCATCAGCTCAGAGCTGGGTCAGATTCCAGCCAGAAGGCTCTTGGTACAAGGGAACGTGTGCATGTTAGTGAGGAAGCAGCCTTTGAGTACTTGCCTCAAGCACAGGCCTAAAAAAATTCTGAAGCAGCCTTATCAATAATAGATCCATCTTAATGTAGCTTGTTCTTCTAATTCATTCTTACACAGCAGCCCCCAGGAGAGCATCATTTGTATACTACCCATTAAAGTGCCAGTCATGTTTCAGAACTGTCTTGGTCAGGTATACAGCTGCAGAAGGATGTGATATGTGCTGTTCTGAGGCTGCTCTGAGAAGCAATAGCATCCTCCTGGAGTTCACACCAAGGAGTGTGAAGCCGCCATATAGCTTTGTTTTAGACATGGGTTTGAACATGCTGTGGAACAAGTGAAAAAGGCAGGCTGCAGGCCACAACAGATGAACTGCAGTAGCCCCCTCCCGTAGAACATAATGCTCCTGAACATCTCCAGATACCCATTTGAAAAGGCAATCAAGGTACAGGGAACAGTCACCCCCAGAAGGAATCAGGTCAGGTAGCCAGGACAGGTTTGTGGGGTTGTCTTTATTTACCGGCTTGTTCATAGCCCTTTTCACCATAGCTCTAGGCCTCTCACATACATGTTGAGTAGCCCCACAAGCTGTTGTGGGGCAGGTCCCAGGGAACATGCCCAGGGTCATACAGGAAACCCATTAGGAGAGCCAGGAGCTGAACCCAAATCCCTTGAGTGCCAGCACCCAAGGGACTTCCTCCCTGGCAGTAAAGCAATGGAAAGGCTTGCTATGAAAGCGGCTCTGCTTGTCTGAGGAGTTGCATTATAGGGGTAGAGGAGGGAGGTTTCTGGTTGGACCAGCTGTTTTAGGCATGCATGCCAAGGCTGTGGTGGGGGAGGAGAAGCTCTTTGCTCAATGTTCCTGTCCCTCCCCACAAAGTTCCCTGTTAATGCAAGGCAGCTCATGCTGCAGACCACACCATGCAGTGCCGCAGCAGGGGATGTGCAGTTGTAGCTTTGCTCTTGTGAGTCAATGCCTTGCCAACAATAGCATTGCCTGAAATGTCACCCCCTTCGTTCTCCTCCTTATCCTCATAGTTTCATAGTAGGTAGGGTTGGAAGGGACCTGAGCAGATCATCAAGTCCGACCCCCTGCCATGGCAGGAAAGGATGCTGGGGTCAAACGACCCTGGCAAGGTGTCTCTCTAGTCTCCTTTTAAAGACCCCCAGGGTAGGAGTGAGCACCACTTCCCTTGGAAGTTGGTTCAAGATCCTAGCCACCCTGACAATGAAGTAGCGCCTCCTGATACCTAGCCTGAATCCACTCTCTGTCAACTTATGGCTGTTATTCCTTGTAACTCCCAGTAGTGCTCAGGGGAACAGGGACTCTCCTATTGCCTGCTGGTCTCCCTTGGCCAGTTTATAGACAGCCACCAGATCCCCTCTCAATCTT